CTGGGAATGCCGCATATCTGAAGATGTGCTGGCACAGGAGTTTCCCCTTTCAAACATCTTGCAAGCTGCTGATGTGAAATTTGCTGCTGCAGAGCGGAAACCCGGTGATCACTTCATGCTAGTTTTACATTTGGAGAGATCTTTTGAACTCTTCAGGCCCTCAGACTGACAGGATTTTTGCCTTCCATTAAAATGCTTTCCCAGTTGTGTAAGAATAGGAAAATTTGTAAGAACTTTCACACTGGATTGAAGCAAGACATGAATGAAGTGTGGGCAATCACTAAATTCCTTAGAATGTTCAATACAGATCATTTAAATTTTATGCAAGTTTGCTTATTTTATCATGAGACAAACTTAACAAGGATTAAAATAACCAATAAAGGATTAGAGAGATTAAGGCTAAGCTATTTAAAGACAAAGCAATGTTAATTAAACTGATTTAAGTAATTCAGATTAATCAGTGATGCTTTGGACGGAGAAAAAGACGCCAGAAGTGTGGCCAGAGATGAGAAGAACAACTGAAATGGCAGCTTTTATTTTGGTTATTGCCCTCTCCACACTTCAGAGGAAGGCAGGATGAAGTACAGCTCAAGTGTGCTGAAAGGAACATTAAATCTCAACAGCTCTGTTCAATCTTGACAAGAAAGTGAGGGGTTTGATGTCTTGAGTTGAAAAGAGAGTTCCCTGTGAGGCCTGTGAGCAGAGTTTGTGATCATCCTCGGCTGGGAGAGGTGAGTAAATCCCACTGGTGAAAATGCTGCTTTCCATTGGCAGTGTGGAATTAGCACACACAGAGCTGTCTGCACGACCCTGTTTCAGAGGATTGTGCACATAATTCACAGATCTCACCGCACCTTTTAGTCAGGGATGATATTTTTTATAATTGGTACATTTTATTCTGAGTGTATTTTTATTTTATAATCTGTGAAATGCAGTTAGCACCTATTGGCATTTCACTGTATGACTTTGTAAAATAATGTTACTTAATGTAACTCCCAGCAGGTACTCTCAGGGCATTGTTCTCACTTGATTTCCAGCGTCTGAAGCACAAATTGTGGGGATTTCATCTTCTGAACGAGAAATCTGTGCAAATGCTGTCATGTTTATTCAACTGCAAATATGACAGGTGCTGTGTGAGAACTTGCTCTCACGTGGGAATATCTAACAAGCGTCTTGTTGGTATATCTGAAAGAAATTGAAACTATTATTTCAAAGGCAACCAGTCCTAAAAAATAAGATTTTTTTTAAACCAGGTGAAGCGTTCACATAGAATGAAGGGATTTATCCTTTCTGAGCAAATCAACGCTCCGTTCGCTCGTCCTTCCCTTCCCCCACAAAACAATTTCACATTTCCGCAGTAAAACGTGGTGCTCCCGGGAGCTGCTCATGCGGCACTACGGGAGAGAATATTTAGGTCACTGGGTTTTAGCTCTGGCTCTCGTGGGAGTCGCGCTGCTCCCTCTGGAGCTCAGGGATCGGCAGCGCTCTCCCATGTGCTGTCCTGAGTCCCGGGGACGGGCGGCTCCGATCAGAGGCGTCTCTTTCGGGCTCTGTATGTAACGTTTTAACTTCCCCTCGGCACTGGCGTTTGGTCGCAGCTCCTTGCAGCAAAGCCAACATGTTTTGCTAATTCACGGTGCGATCCCACCGCGCCGGGAGCAGAGGCCAGTTAGAGATGACGTTGTTTTCTTTGTTGCTCTGGGGAAGAGAATTCCTTGGCTTCCTTTGCCCTCTACTGGTGGCCCGCGTGGCTTCGATGCCAATTCGGTTGCTTTGTTTAATATACATATATAATATATATATATAAAATAAATATTAAAAAATATCCAAAAGCTGAGCAAAACCACAGTGAGGGTGTTTCCCACAGCTTTTCCAAGATATTAGGAACAATGTTCCTTAATTACTGCAAAAGGAAATCATCATTAGCAATTGATGAAGATTTTTTCCAGTTGCATCCAAGATAAGGACAGCATTAATTGGGGTGGAAAAATGCGAGCAGTGTCTGCAGTGGTGCTTTTGTGGAGAGCTTGGTGGACCTGCCTTGATGGAGGAGTGCAATGGACATGGATGGTCATGGACACGGTGCCCAGTGGATGTCAACAGGGAAACACCTGGTGTGTTTTGGTTGCCCTTCTGTAAAACTCATATGTTAGGGAAGACAGAGACGTAACAAATGACAGAGCCCGTGCAGACCTGGGGTTGTTTGTCTCTCTAAGTGCCTCCTTCTGTGCAGTCACACCACATTCCTGTTTTGTGAGGCCCCAACTGCCGACGGACAGCCTGGGAAGAATGAGGTCCCCTCTGGGCAGTTCTTGCTGAAGTTGACAGGGTTTTTTTCTGTTCTCAAGGAAAAGGAGAGTTTTCAGGTGTATCACCATCCCAAACCAGCAGATTATGTCACTCTGGGAATGCCCAAGAGACAAGCAGCAGCCTGTGGCTGCAGATAAGCGTTGGGTGGGAGGCCACCCCTGCGGTGATAACACTTGGGGCAGCTCCTGTGCCACCACCCCACGTCCTGAGCACACACAGGTGCTGTTAGAGAAGGGATGAGACGGATAAGAAGAAACAATAGTCATCTGTTGTTGCTCAATGTGGTTATTCTACTTATCAGGGAGCACCAAAGTGGTAATATCCTGATTTCCATGATGGCATCCACTTGACATCCACCCAGATCCCTGATCTGTGTGTGCTCTTGCCTCATTTCTGTGTTACTCATTGCATTTGCACTTTCCTAATTTCCAAGTGTTCACGCTGGTCCTGTTGGCAGCTTCTGACCAGGGCATCGATGCTGGAGGCCGTTCCAGTTCTCCTGGTGATGGAGGC